AATTTTCATAAATACTTCTACTACTTTGTTATGCCTACATGTAATTCAATAAGTGTAAGCAAAATGTTCCATCAGCTTTTAAATAATTGGTTCCCTGATTAGCATGTGTTTAACCTCAGAAGATTACAGAGCTGTCTCGAAAACAATGTATGTGATTTTCTTTCCTTACAGAAGATGTTTTCTCCTTTTTTTTCTGTCTTGATTTTCCACTTGGATTGTGCCACATACAAGATGATAGCTTGGTGACTTACGGGAGAGACTGATGACAGGCTCACTTTTACACGTCTAGACATACAATTTGCATTTATTCATGAGAGGAGTCTCACTAAATCACTTTGCTTTCATTTGAACTTTCTGAACCAAATTTTGAAGGGCAAGAGAAAAAACCACCAATCAAAGCCAGTATTGTCTTATTTTATTTTTTGCTATACTTTGGTGCTAGCTTGGACAACTCCACATGGCTGTGAAGGGAAGGTTTCCTGCAGGCACTGTGCCGCTGAGATCCAGTACTGTAGTCATCTCCCATGCAGATAGCAGAGCTCTGTAGCTGTTCTGTTATAATGCTTTGAGAAGTCAATCTGATTTGCCTTTGCTTAAAGTGTATAATCTAAATTATTGAAAGATGTAGGTATTTTCTCCACAGTAAGCAAACTTTAAAATGTCCCAGTGTTTGGTGTTGCTTAAAACTCTGCCTCTATCCTTCCCATTCCCAACAACTTCAGAGTGGAACTAAACAACTGTGAAAAAAACTTCAGTTAGAATGGTCTAAGTAATTTTCAAATGAAAAGTATAAAAAAAGTGTAGTACTGGAAATAGGAAAATATTACAGCTGTAACTTTCATGTCTAAAGTTCATGATTTCTATAATGGAAAAACAGGTTTTAAAATATTTTCTGCTAATAACTCCTTTGAATTCAAATCTGTAATGCTTTATTTTTTTTGTTTTATTTATTTATTTAAATGGAACAAATAGCTAAATAATAGCTTCTTGTGTTTGTCATACAAACAGGTCACTCCAGTCAAGTCGCTTCGGCCAAAAAGACAATTTTCCTGTTCTGGCACAATTGAAACAATCAATTTGGATGCAGTTCCCCAGGCCGTTGCTCGTCTAGACAACAGTGCAGCTAAACACAAGCTGTCAGTGAAGCCAAAAAAGCAGAGGGTGTCAAGAAAGCACAAGAGATTAACAAAGGTATTGAATCACTGGTCAAACAGCGAGAGGAGAGGGGTTGCTTTTGGAACTGGCCACAAAATAACCATAACTGAGTGCACCAACAGTAGCTATAGACAGAGGACTGTCTTATGTGATTAATGCTGTTAGAGATAGCTATTGAAAGCTTCATCAACAAACCTGGTGTCTTCAAGGCAAAACAAAATGCATGCTTCTTTCATTTTGTCTTGAATAGACAGATAGAGAAAGATAGAGACCTAAAGATGAAACCCTAGCTGGAGAGAAGATGCAAACAAGTTTTAATATAGCCAGCTGAGACAACTTAAACCTGAAGTACTCCCACTAGGATTTTACATTGGGAAATCTTTCTCATTCTAGTTTTTCTAGTAAAAAATTTAGGTCATAAAGATCTGAAGGACATCTGCTATGGTTAATGCTTCTCTGGTTTGGGCAATCAGTGCAAAATTCGGTTGGGAAAAAATTAGATTCTCTAAAACTGGCGTGGGTTCTGACAGTGATAATAGCATTGCCTTATAAGAAGGAATAGGACTTCAGTAACACAGCTCTTGCTACAGCTATAGAATGAATTATCAGATCCTAGCTTTGTACGCTTACTGCATATGGCTATTTTGTTTTTTCTCCTGACATCTTACTAGTGCTTGTAAATGGGACAAGACTATTGAAGTAATACAGGGTTCAGGAGAGGTCGCTGTCCTTTCTTCCGCACCATTGTACTTGCATTTATCACTCTTGCAATGAAGAAATTAATTTTAAACCTCTTGTTTATACAGAATGTTTAACTGGAGCCAAATGATGGCTGAACAAATGATAGCTAGACAGGGCATTAGCCGAGCTGTTTTCGAGCTGTTTTTGTCACGGAAAGTGCTGGAAAGCACTCTGCAGGTGCATCTCACTTCAGACCATGTGGCTACAGAGACAATGAGTAAGCTGTGAAGAAGATCTGCATTCAGTTTATTGCAGGTATTGCACCCACATGCCAGGGCTGTGGGGCAAGCTCAGAGAACCAGTCAGCAGTTGGCACATGCCTCAGTACAGTACAGTATTGCTGAGGAGCTCTAGGTTCTCTGTCCTTGCATGGTTCCACGGTTTCTGCAACAGAACTGAAGTCTCAGCAGGGCTAATGAGGAAGATATCCTGGCTCAGGATTTGTGAAAAGCAACCAAATTGTGTTTCCCTGAGCAGTGTTCTTTCTTGGCTAGCATTGCAGAGCTCTTTTCTGCAGGCAACAGCTTCTGTCTCTGCAAGTAACAGCTAGATTTGCCATGAAAGAACTGGCAAAACAATGCCCGTAAGCAGGTGCTAATTACTTCAGGCTTAAAGGATGGAGTTCTAAGTAGTAGAACAGGCATATGAAACTTTTGCTCTATTCCGTAGGCTTCTAAAAATTTGAAATGGCAGGTCTCAGTCTGGATTAGCTCATCTACACCAAATGGTGACTCAATATTTAGCATTATACTGTTATCATGGTTGGGATGTTTTCTTTCCTTTAAAGGCTATAATCCAAACAGGTGAGAGGCATGGGATCTTTGATGATGTGATCCGTAAATTGGGGTGGGTGTTTTGGCTCTGGTTTAAAAAAAAAAAAGTTTTGCATTTGCAACTGATTGTTTGTTCACTGTAAAGAATAACAAGCCAATTGGCAATATTCAGTAACTCCAAACTTGTCTCCCAATTTTAGGGATCACAAAGTTTAACAATAACAGAATTTGAGCCAGACGACCTAGAAACTCAACTGTATGGAGACAGATACCCAGGTTATAATGGACACATCATAGCAGACAAGCTAATCCAGAACAGAGATAAGCAGAAGCAGCTTCAGCTGGAAGAGGAGAAAAGAATTGAGGATCACTGGGGTATTGTTGAGGCTGAAAGGATAAGGCAAATTGTAGAAATGGAGGAACAAAGAGAAATGGAAGAAAAAAGGTGCCAAGAGCTTGAGCAGATGCAGAAAGAGCAGGAGAGAAGGCATTGTGAAGAAGAGAGGAGGCAGTATCTCCTTGAAGAAGAGACATCTTTGAAAACAGAAGAGCAAACATGCCATGAAGAGGACAGAAGACTGCTGGAGGCTGAAAAGAGGCAAGAGCTGGAGGAGCAGAGGCGCCAGGAACTGGAGAAGCAGAAGCAGAAGGACTTGGAGGAGCAACAGAGACAAGAGCTGGAGGAGCAGAAGCTCCAGCAACAGGAGGAGCAACAGAGACATGAGATGGAAGAAGAGCAACAGAGACAAGAGCTGGAGGAGCAGAAGCTCCAGGAACTGGATGAGCGACAGAGACGACAGCTGGAGGAGCAGAAGCTCCAGGAACGGGAGGAGCAACAGAGACGAGAGCTGGAGGAGCAGAAACTCCAGGAACAGCAGGAACAGCAGAAGCTCCAGGAACAGCAGGAGCAACAGAGACGAGAGCTGGAGGAGCAGAAGCTCCAGGAACTGGAGGAGCGACAGGGACAAGAGCTGGAGGAGCAGAAGCTCCAGGAACAGCAGGAGCAACAGAGACGAGAGCTGGAGGAGCAGAAGCTCCAGGAACGGGAGGAGCAACAGAGACAAGAGATGGAAGTGGAGCAGAAGCACCAGGAACAGGAAGAGCTGAGATGTCAGGAGTTAGAGGAGCAGAAGCATCAGGAATGGGAAGAGCAGAGAAGCAAGGAGCTGGAGGAGAAACAGAGACGAGAGCTGGAGGAGCAGAAGAGGCTAGAGCTGGAAGAATTAAGGCAACACCAGTTTGAAAAGCAGTGTCAAGATGAAGAAGAAAGAAATTGGCTGGAGGAACAAAACAAACTCAAGGAACAATATAAGGAAGAAAAACAGAGACGAGAGCTAGAAGAGAAAGAGTTTCGAGAAGCTGAAATGAAACTGAAGTGGGAGAAAGAAGCTGAGACCCTCAAACAACAGAAGAAACAGGTGGAACAAAGGCAGCATTTGAAGGAGAAAGGAGAAAAGACAGAGAAGGAGCAACCCCAGCAAATAATGGTTAAGAAAAAGAAATGGGAAGAGCAGAGAAAACACAAGCTGACAAAACAAATGCACATGGAAAGTGCAGAGGGTGTGCAACAAGATGAACTGAAGCAGCAAAACCAACAAAATGACCAAGAATGGAACATGCTGGAAGAGCATAAGGTAGACACAGAAGGACAAAATCTTCAGCAAAATCAACAAGAAAAATCCTTGGAACAGCAACAGCACAAGGATCAGTTGTGTTTTGGAGGGGCTGATACGCATCTGGTAGAGGAGAAACTCCAAGAAGGATCAAGATCCCAAAAACTCAAACAGCCAGAAAAAGGTAGTAGAACAGCAGAAGAAGTCCTAGCCCAGAAACTGAAGAGAGAAGTTGAGGCTCAGGAACAAAAGCGAATAGGGGAAGAACTTCGTTGGCAAGAGGTAGATGAAAGACAAACTGCATCCAGACCCTTCACATTTCAGGTGTCTTCTGGAGATAAACAGATCATATTTCAGAAAGTAAATCTGAGTCCAGTCATGCCTGTCAAAGGAGCAGGACTCTCTTCTCCATCTGTCAAAGACTCCAGGATGCACACTGCCAGCAAGGGCTCTCATACTCTTCCATCATCTGTGTGTGTACCCCATACAGCTATTTTGGTTACTGGAGCACAGCTGTGTGGCACAGCAGTTAACTTGAACCAGATAAAGGACACGGCTTGTAAATCATTGCTTGGCTTAACAGAAGAGAGAAAAACTGTGGATATTCCTTCACCAGAGAAGGCCCAGAAAAAGACGCAGGATCCCAAACCCAGCAGCACTAAAATGAAATATGCACAAGAGTCATTGAACAACCAGGCCGTACTAGCTGAGTGGGCCTCTATCCGCTCCAGAATCCTAAAGAATGCAGAAAACAGCAAATATAATGAGAGAGACCGAGTAAGTGTCTGCAGACACAGTGACGACTGGACACCCCGAGGACGGGGTGCTCCCCATGGCAACTTGAGGAAAACCCTCTCTGCAAATGCAAAGTTCTCGATAACACCAGCATGGCAGAAATTTTCAGAAGCTTCAAAAAACAATTCAGATGCTGAGAATGTCAGTGCAGCAAAAGGCAATGAAACAGTCACTGTGGGAAGAATCACTGGTTCATGCGCTGATTCGAAGAAGGATGTGGCTCCCACTTCTAAGGATAACTTAGCTGAAAAGGCTGAGAAGAAAATGGAAACCCATAGTGAAATGACAGACAACACAGAAGGCTGTAAATTTGCAAAAGATCTTCCATCTTTCCTTGTTCCAAGTTTTCCTCATTCTCCGGGTAAAGAATTAGCCCAGGCAGAACTTCCCGGTGCTGTGGAGAATCAGCAGAACAATAGCACGAAAAAAGCAGATAAACCAGCACCAAACGGAGAAGAAAATGTTTCTCCTTTTGGGATAAAGTTACGAAGGACAAACTACTCTTTACGTTTCCATTATGACCAACAGGCAGAGCAAAGGAAAAAGAAAAGATACAGTGCAGGAGATAGTTTTGATGGTGTGCCTGACCCACTAGTTACAACAGAAGGTGAGAAAGAATCCGCTGTTTTTGCTCCACAAGAGAGTGCATCCCCTGGCATGGGGAGAGTGAATGTCCCTTGTAATTTAAAAGACTCCAAAGACTCTTCAGTTAATGTGGTGGAGATCCCACAACTAGTGGGCACACCAGTGGTCCTACCAGCCACCGGCCAGAGTGCTTTACCCCCTCATGAGAAACCAGCATGCAAGTCACTGGTCCCACAGAAACCTGCTTTAGCTCCAAAGCCCACCAGTCAGACACCACCGTCGTCTCCTCTCTCTAAAATTAACAGATCAAACCTAGCCGATACATTAGGGCAAAGGTTGGTTAAAGCTGAATCAGATGGTGGCTGGAGAAAAGAAGACAGAGCAAATGCAGTGCACCCCACACCATCCAATGAGTTCAAAAATGAAGAGGAAGAAATCAGAGAAAAGAAGTCGTTTTTCCCATCTATAAGTATTCCTTGGAGAGAAAAAAATGACAAAAAGCCTGAGCCAGTGAAGAAAGGTATGTATTTTTCAAAGGTCATTTAGCTATTGTCTGCACTTCCAAAATGAGGTACTGGAGGTCCAGAGGAAGACATTTCGTCTTAAGCTATATTTTTACCCGGCATGTTATTTGTGGAGGACCACTACTTTGCTTAGGTTATCTGAATGAATGGGACTTCCCATCCCCACAGCTGAATTCAGAAACACACAAACTCAGCCTGACCAGCGTGACCTGCCTAAGAAAGTTCGTTTCAAGGAAGTAACTGAAGTGTGTGTGTGTTTTCCTTGGTAGAGATGTTACCTAGTCAGAGGATGGACTCTGTGTTCCATGTGTGACGGTGTCATCAGAGCAGAGGGAGTAATTTTTATAATTTACATTATATTGTTTCTATTCTTTAGGGGAATATTATCTAGCTTAAAAAATATTACGATCTAGGCCCTCTTATAGTGTCTATCTTGAGCAAATTCTCTATCTAGCCCAATATAGCTGGGCACAGGAGTCTGCCTTTCAGAGGCACTCTTCAGTGATAGAAACAATTACAGTAGCCATAGTGGCTCTTCAGAGGACTGAAAGCCCCTGTGTCCTGAAATAGTATTCTGTACAAGAGGAAAAATTAGCCTCTCAGCATAGGGACACTCAAAAGAGCAAGGTGGGAATTCACCATTTAATTGGGAAATCCCATTTTTTAATTTTGCAAACATCAAGACACTTCTAAAACCGTATCTCACTGGAACTGCTGCTTATTTTTTACATTTTTTTTCACTTTTGCCTTTCACTTCCATTTTAAAATGAGGATTTATGGAAACTAGTTGGAGGCACAGCTTGAGGGTTTCTGTGCTCACTGAGCTCTGCAGGAGCACCTTTGCACCCCAGTGCTGCTCCTTGCCACTCACAGCTCTACACTGGGTGCTAGCCCCAACTTCATGCAGGGTACAGAAAGGCAAATGCTCAAATGACAATAAACCCGCCCATTTTTGTAAGGGAGGCTGCACTTACATTTCAGCCCCCTTCTTTTGGCTGAGGTTCAGACACTTCGCTTAATTACGACTAGAAAACCAGGGAACCGCAGTGCAGTACATAGTGGCTGGATCCCTTTCATCAAAGGCATAAACAATCAATGCATGTGTGTCACTTTCACTTAAATATTCACACAGTGTGAATATTTGTAGTAAATGAGGCTGTAAGTCTAAGTGTCTGGGGTAGGCCTTTTCAGAAAAAAATATAAATTTGGCCAGCTGTATGAGTGTGTTGAATTATGTCTTGTTCTTGAGGCAGAAAATCTGTTTCAGGATTTGGCATACAGTCCATGAAGGTCTGTGAATGGCATGGCATTCAATGGCTTAGCTCCAGAGTCTTCACAAGGTAGGGAAGTTGTGCGGGTTTGCTTGAGACAAGAGATGTGCATTACTCAACCAATTCTTGTCATGTTTTCTTTCAGAAAAGCCCGTCCTTCAGAGCAGGCACTCTTTAGATGGCTCTAAATTGATGGAAAAAGTTGAAACTTCACAACCCCTTTGGATTACATTAGCACTGCAAAAGCAAAAGGGATTTCGTGAGCAGCAAGCTACGAGGGAAGAGAGGAGACAAGCCAGAGAGGCGAAGCAAGCAGAGAAGCTGGCTAAGGAAAATGTAAACAAGCTTTAGAAACCTGCCCATTAGAAATAACGATACCACAATTCTAACTATTAGATAGTTTTACTATGTGAAAGGGAATTTTTTTTTTATGTCTGGTTTTTAAGATTTCATAAAAACCAAAATGACAGTGAGTAAAAAGTAGTCTGAAACTCTGGAGTTCCCTTTTGCAAAACTGAGACCTCCAGGAGAAAATACTGTGCAATAGTGTGATGATTTTAGTGTAAACTGGTGCCTTAATATCAGATAGCAGCAATCATAAGCACAGCCACTGTGCAGCTGATGGAACAGCAACATGGTTCTTTCAAAGCTTGAGTAAACAAGATGTTAAGCCTTAATGCTTGGGGAATAACAGCTGGAATACTCATTTGTAGGTGAATATAGGTGAAAATTAGTAAGTTTGAATTTATTTTTATTGTAACATGTATCATTTGGATAAAATGCAGATGAATGAAAAAAATGAACCATCACGTGAAACACCCAAATGCCTAAAGCAGGCACTGAGTTCAAGTATCACTGCTTTCCTGTTCTTTAAATAGGTATTTACTATCCATGGTGTCCTATTAGTAAGAAAAACACTTCGACTTACAGTACAGAAGTGATGCTACACAAACAGATTACATCTGCTGTATACAGATGGTAAAAAAAGGAGATTATGTGGATAACTAAGTATATTTTGATGTTTGTTATGAGTACCAAATTTCTGATGGACACATGCATAACTACAGACATAGATAACTGGCAGCAGTGGGTGTGAAGTTGCCCACCGAGGCACACTGTGTTTCAGTGCTGTATTTAACAGGTAGGGCTGCCTCAAACTGTTCAATATTTTGACCAAAATGACAACATGACAAATTTAACTTTGTGGGGTTTATTTTTTTACACTGTCTAATAGCTGTTTCTTTTAGAAGTATTGGTGTGTTTTGATCCTTTGCCAAAAAGGAAGGTTAAGGAAAGGACAAGTGATGAATGAAAGCATCAAGTGTGACATCTCTTACTTATAGCCATTACATGACAGACTGTTTCTCATTTAGCACTCTTCTTTCTCTTTTCTAGGCTGCTGTAAGTAATCAGTCAGATAAAACAGGCAGCAGCAAAACAAGCACACTGCAGAAATCTACACCTCAAGAAGGGGAGAAGAAAATTGAGACTGCTGCGTCAAGACTAGAAAGAAGGGAGCAGCTAAAAAAGTCAAACACCCTTCCAACTTCTGTGACAGGTACAGTGAGAGATTCAGATTTACTCTAGGAATAATGCACTTCAGCAATGGTATTGCATGTTTTTGTGAAAATGAATGATTTTTTTTCCCTCTTATATTACCCCCTACAATTACAAATGCTTTCAGCATGGAATAACACAACTTGTCCCAGTCTCATGTGCTGGCCATTATGCTGGAATTACATAATTTTAACAGGTTTTTACCAGGTTCCTCAGGTTATTAGGGTGGTACTACTGCATCTCCTTAGAATTGCCCCAGTTCAAAAATCAGGCTGTCTCCCCAAGCCACATCCAACAGTATTTTTGGAACATGGCTAATGAACATTAGAAGGATTTGATTTACTGTAAATTGCAATTGCAGTACTGTTTTGCCTTTAGGTTGGTTGGGGGTTGGCGCAGAGGCAGGATGATACTTAACTTCTACAAAGTGTATTTGTGTAGGAAATGAAGCATATTGTGCTCCTGCACCCCACTTTGCCAAGGAGAAATACTCACCCCAGAATATTTGGAATGAATATTCTTGTTTCATTCAAAAATGCAAAAACTAATCAATTCAGTTGAAGGTAGCCCATCACTTTGAATTTAGGAATTCTCCCTCCCATTCAAGTATTTGGTATGGGAGGTTGGAAGCAGAACCTACTACTTTATCTGGCACTTCAGTTAAGCTGAAACAATTCCATATTCAAAAGGCAGGCACATTAAAATAAACACTTCCCCAAAGGGCATAGTATTTGGGATGGTAAAAGGTGATTGTTGAAATACAGACTTGCCTAATATTTCTCTAGCCAACATTAGTCCTAGGCAAAAGGTTTTGGAAAAGAGTACAGACAGGTTTTGAAGAAACCTTTTTACAAGTTGCACAGTAAATAGCGTGGGCTTCTTTGAAAGTAAATGCTCCTAGCAGCTAATCTATTCAGTACCACTCCACACCAAGAACTACGGAATGCAACTACTGAAAGCGATGAGGTGATTCATTTATCTGATCTGTAACAGTAAAGGGTAAAACAGTGCAGCTCCTACAGACTGCTCCAAGCTGACCAATGCTGCTCCAAGCTGACCAACCCCTACGCATGCCTATATTCAGTTTGTTCAGCAGCTGCGTGTCCTCACTGCAGCTGCACACCAGTGCAGATACCCCTGAGAACTTGTTTTACTTGCAGCATCTTGGGTTGGACGAGATGACCTTTAAAGGTCCCTTCCAATCCAAACCATTCTATGATCTCACACAGATTGCCCAAAACTTTCCTGCTCCCTGTTAGCCTGCTTCCAGTGTCCAAACTGGCTTTGGAGGTACAGCTGGAGAAGCTTTACAGCATTCCAGTCAACCTGTAATAGGGCACTCTATTGCAGCCCTACCCAAAAAGATTCGGTAGTGTGATGTTACGCTGTATAATGTATGATGGTCAGTTCTATAAGGAACGAAACTCTAGCACAACAGCTGATGTCAAATTAGACCAAAGAAGGGCCAACTATCCTTGGTCGGTCTGTCTGCATTAGAATGAGAGTTTTGGAAGGAATTACCAATTTTGAATTACCTTAAGTGAAAGCATAGAACTGTGTTGGCCCTAAAGCAAATAGTGACTGGATTTATGTCTGATTACTGGCTATATTTGGAGCCAGGTAGCCATTAGCAACTACAGAAATATGCTACACACAATTATTTGTTTATTATGGATGATGACACTGATTTCACTCCCACAATTAGGAGCGCATTTAAGTCAGAACATGGTTAAAATAAAAGTTTGCTGAGTCCTCCTCTAAGGTCATTAAAAAAACACCCAAAACTTGAAGAAGTTGGTAAATTTCAGACTTGCACTTGAGACTTGTATGGCAGGAACTGGTAAGAGGGTATAACCTTTAAAATAGCATAAATTACCATAACATTTAAAATAATTAGCTTTTCAAAGTGTCTGTCTTCAGCAATAGCTGCTGCTACTGTTCATTTACTTATAGCTAAAAATACATGACTAAAGATGTACTGAAAAGAAAACTAAACAATTTTTGCCATCCGTGCAATTTTAAATCCTTTTAAAACATTCAAAACCTGAAAATGAAATGCAACTGAAAGTAATTGGACTGAATTTGAACATTTAACAAAAAGAGCTTTTTTACGAGCAAAAAGAAAATGTGTAAGGGAGGATTAGTGAGGATTTATTTTGTAACTATGATTTTTTTAGAGTTACTCCACAGGTTTCAGATAGGACTCATTTCTATCCAGGCTGCCCTCAAGGGCATTCACTGTCTCAAAATCAAACAGTCTTCCCACCTGACTGCTTCTACAGTTCTGCTCTGTAAAGTTGCTTGTTAGAAATCAGTTGCTTATTCAATCCATTTTCTTGCCGAGACAGCTATTCGCCTTAAATATACTATTTTCAAGAAAATGTGACAAGCAGCTATTGAAGAAAGCCGGTTCATTTCTTCTTCAGGATCGTCTCACTGGCATGGTTAACTGAGGCAGGAAACTGTAGGACTGCTTTCTTCTCTGTGCTTATTCAAGAAACCTAATCTGAAGGGGAAATCTAAATCCTGCTAACAGTTGGGTTACCCATGTTCAGCAGCTGCATTACCAAAGAGAAAAAAATAATCCAGCTTTATTTCCCATTGTTTGCTATACTGCAGATGTAATTAGATAGTTTATGTAAAGAAGAGTAGCAAATTGGCAAATGTTTTCTCTGGATATCACAGAGACTGAAAATTTTGACCATATTTTTGTGAGTTACCTTACTTGGGAGTCACCTCAGAAAAAGGAAACTCAGCTCCTCCTAACTTGATTATTTACAAATACAATAAAAATTAAGATTTAACTCAAGAGTTGGAAACAAATATGAAGTTTTAGATCAGAAGATCTTCACAGAAAAAAAGCAAAATCTCTAGAATCCTGCAACAAAGTACAGGGTTCAAATAATGGTTTTTTTTTTCTCTTCTCCTCCCCACCCCATCAAAACCAGTGGAAATTTCAGATTCTGTTCCGTCAACCCCACTGGCAAAGGAGGTGGCCAAGAGATTCTCTACGCCCGATGCTAATCCTGTGTCAACAGAACCAGCCTGGCTTGCATTAGCTAAGAGGAAAGCAAAAGCCTGGAGTGACTGCCCACAGATCATAAAGTAAACTGTAAAATTACATCTCTATTGCTATTCCTTGCTTTCTTTTTATTTATTCAGCTTTCCACACATGACAAAACTGAAAATGCATGTCTTAAAGGACTGAAAACTGAACTGATTACCATTTTGCTCTAGCTCATTGTAAAGTCTACTGAAGTCATATATTCCATTGCTTTGACAAATGGCTAAATGAGGTCACGTCAAAAATTTCAGGGCCAGATTCTCTCAAAAATTTAAGAATGCTTAGATACTGGATGTGAATTTTAGTGAGTATCATAATAAGGGCCAGAACATCAGTTCAGAAGCTCCTTAAATTCTGTGGGTATTTGGTTCTGGAATTTTAGATCTCTACACTTAAGTGGAGATCTCAGAAACTTTTTTCAACACTCCATTGTTGAAAATTAAGGAAAGATGCATGTTCCCTTCTCTTATTCCTGATTTTTTTAAAGTGTTAAAACTGTATGAACTGTCAGTTCTACCTGCTATTTGAAAGCTTCTTCCCTAATGAAGAACTTTGGGAGATATCATTCCACCTGCAAATGGTAAGTAGAAAGATGGTACTACCCAAATGCTGAGGTAATTTCTTTCATCATAGGATTAATACACTATGTCTATATTCCCTCACTCCTAGGAACAAAACAATTTCTCCTACTTAACAAAAAACCCATTATTTAAACAAAAATCAGAAAGTTTTCAGAAAGAAGCCAGGGAGTCAGTGTTTCTTCTAGTCATTTAAGTGCATCACTGTTTATGCTTGGCCATATTTAAGATGCATATAGACAGTGATTGCAGATTACAACTTTAAATCAATAGACCGGAACTAAAATAAGTAAAACAATTCCTGTGCTCACATACTGTAGAATTTGTCTCCGCAAGCTCCCACAGGAGTAAGACTTGCAGAACTGAATTAACTAAGAACAGAAAGCTACGTCAGTGAGAGTCTCAGGAGTTTTATCTCTGCATTCTTCCTGATTTTACTCCACGTGCAACTTCAGGTAGTTCAGACAACTTCCTGTACTTTGACCAATACAGCCAGAACACTTCAGAAAGAAGTTTACTTACTCCATCTCAGGTATCTGCTGTGGCAATGGAACACTTTATTACTTCTTGTAACTGAAACAGAAATGTTCACGCCCTCCCTCTTACAAAAAAGGATAAAGTCCATCATGTAGTAAAAATTTTACTACCCTCAACATCCCACAGAAATAGCTGGGTCTACATTTTAAAAACGAGTAACTAAATCTCTTACACATCCAGGTTTGTTTTACAAGGAAGTCCTTAACAAATTTGAACATCTCCTTCTTATAACCATAAGGGTCAGAGGAACCTTTAAGCCTGCAACATCATAAAGGGAGACATTTTCACAAGAAGAAATTGCATCATTATAGAATGATAACACACGTTTCATGGAAGTATTTTAGCCAAACTGCTGTACGCAGCATGAGGAGTAGCACTTTAAATTATGCAGAAAACAGAATGAAACTTGCCATGTCCTCCCATTCCAAGAATCAAAAGGGCTTGTCAGCAAAAGTCATTATTGAACAGATTATTTCCCACCAAACAGAAAACAATGGTTCAGTACCATGGTTACAACAGCACAAGCACAACGGATGTGTTAGATTGAGTAGATGTGCAGCAGCAAGATGGGTTTTCTTGGGTCTCTTAAGCCATCAGTTTTGCTCAGTTTCATATCTAAAAGCAGAATCTCTAAAGTAACTTTTTACCCTTAATGTAAGTATTTCAAATGTTTTATACAGAGATGGGGCAATGCTGCTCTCAAATGCTTGAGGAAAAAAACCCAAGCCTTAATGCCTTCAAAGTCAAATCTCTGCAAGCTTATCTGAAGAAAGAATTGGGCCCATCATTATTTTTGCTCTGCTAGCACCTCGAATTAGTGCATCTCAAGTTAAAATTTTCTGAGTTTATAAGCCTGCAGTATGTATTTGTAACTACAAGAACTAAACTGCCTGAAATCGATCTTTATGATTATTTCTTGGGAAAAGGAGCCAGGCAGAAAATTGAAGTAAATCAGGATTAAAGAATTAAAGATAGGGTATTCTGAAAAGCATAGCAAAATTAGGTGCTATTGTGCATGACATAAGGATGCAATTTTTCAATACAATACATTTATAGCACATAGAATAGAGCTTTCATTAAGGATGGTCTTAATCTAAAGCTTCAAAGCAGAGTGTTTTTTCAACCATAAAGGTATCTAGTGTAATAATGGAAACTGTATTATGTACAGTACTCAATGGAAACATTTCTAAAGTGTACCTGTTCAACAGTGACATTTCATGTTAAATTAACAAAAATTTGCACTAAATACCAATGAAGTGAAGTGTTACTTTGCTTTAGCTTTGTTGCAACCATTTCGGATAAAGTGTTGGAAATCTGTAAAAATAAAACTAAAACATTACTACCGAGTTTAAAACAGCAAAAATGTTTTAAGAACTGAACAAACCACTATGTAGTATATTGTCTCAATTTTTTGTAACTTATACACACAAAATACCATTTCTTCTGACAAGGTTATATATCATTAACCTCTATGTTCATATAGTAATGTATAAAAACTATAAGATGTATAATTGTGGGGTATTTGTTGTGTACTTTTTTAATTTTTCAAATGTTTTAAAGTGCAATTGTTTATTATACTAATGTCATTTTAATTCTTATTAAACTATAACCCAGTCAAAATTATCTAATCCATGATGTATGCATTCTGTGTCTCCTTTTACTAATCATATAGTTCAGGTTTGCTTTATAAATGGAACTTTTTACAGTGCTGCAAGTGTCTTGCCTGTGCATTTCTGCTAAATAAAATGGGAGGAACCAGACATGATGAAGCAACGCAGCCAGTGCAACTTCTACTTTACTTTTCAATTCAAGATGTTAGAATTCCAAGTAGATGGCTCAGGAGAGACAGAGAGATAATAGTTTCTAGTATAGTTCTTTTAGAAGACTCATAATCAGGAAGATACTTTCAGTTAAGTGTACTTTTGTCACTGCAAATACTTGACTCACCTTACTAAAACCACTGGTAATTCATTTTAAGGCCTTAAAGACAACCAAAACCAATTTACACAACCCTTTATTAATAGTTCTCTGTAGAAAGCATTCATTCAAATCTCTTAAAAAAATGATTTGACAATGGTTGAACAGTGCACGTTTCATCTTGGAACTCATACTGTACCTGTCATTGAAATTTAATAAATAAACACACGCAAGTATATTCTCCACTTTAGAATACAAGAAGTAATTCCTACTGACTTCAAAGGAGTTTAAGTACGTGCTTCACTGAGTTGAAGCCAAGGAGGGCCTGGGCTCACAAGAGATGAACTATTCAGTTCATACAAACTATAGTAAACAGGTATGTGCATATAGTATACCAGGTAGTGCAATGCAGGCTATGTCTTCAGAAATCAAGTTAAAAGTTAAGATTCAAAAAAGGACTTGGGTTACCTTGCCACAGCACAGAAACCTCATCAGACTAGACAAACACCAGTCTGATGCATGGAAGAGCCAGGCACAGGTGAGGAAGGAACCTCGGGGCAGAGGCTAGGCTGGACTTAAAGAGAAAAATACATTCCTCCCTCAGGAAGACAAGCATGTTATTCCAAGACTACAGCACCTTACCACAGTTCATCCCAGTCCTGCAAGTCTTTGAAGTCAAACTATTGACTTTCATTTTCTTACTACACAGGTGAAAGCACAACATTCAAATCCAAACCATCTGAAAAATGTTCTTTCATGAACTGGAGCTGGAAAATGAGGGAGGGACAGTGAAACTTCTGGCTGGGTGCTGAGCAGCCATCCTCCTTCAATCAGTACATCAAGTCAACAAACATCACTTTACATACTCTGGACAGTGCCTAGTGCAAAATGTCACCCGAAAAGTCTGCAAAGAGCACCTCTTGCCTACAGTAAAATAGGCAGAGAGGTAGAGCGCACTTGTGAGTTCTTAATTTACAAATGTAAACAACAAGGAAGCAGCCTAACATCTTAGCTGGTCTTTTTTTCCTGTTATATACAAATCTAGGCAATAAACATAATCATTTCTACAGCCAACAACAAGCTTTGTTCCCCATACTATGGGGGAAGAGAAAACCTCTCCTGGAAGCTTATCTACTCCTTCTGCTGTTCCACTCTTGGCATTCAGGATCCACACATTGCCATCTGTAGACACTGCTGCCAAAAGAATTTTGTTCTTTAAGTCATCACTTTGGAAAACGAATGGTGTTCCATATACACTTGAAGTGGCTTCAAATTTCCACAGTAAATTACCCTCCATGTTACAACAGTAGATAAAGCAATCATGGGAGCCAAAAAATATTTCTTCCTTAGTTAAACTTGAGATGCATGGAGATGAAAACACCGGTCCATTAGTTGAAAACTGCCAAACCTACAGAAAGAACATAACCACCCATTATCAAAGGTTGTTCAAATTATCAGTTTGAAGCAACTGTCATTTTTTAATAGACTAGTTGTTGACAGGAGAGCATTTTATTTCAAAAGCATACTAGATATCAGTGAGGGCTGGTAACTTGTCAAATTACAAATTAAGTTTTACACACAGAGTAAGTGATAACAGACTCATAAAACAGATGTGCAAGAGTGAGGCCCACGTAAAGATGGCCAACTTGAGAAAAGCATATTCTTGGGCTGTTGTATCATAATTAGTAATGTGATGTATCACAATTAACGATGAACTTTGAGAATTCTGTAACATGCCATTCTTTGCCAATATTCCTTTTGTAATACAATTTCCTCTGCTCATGCTAATGATGTGCAGATCCCTCCTCAAGAGATTATCAGTTCTGCAACACTGCTGCAAGCAGAGAGCACAGCATGAGCTAACATGTATTTTATAGTCAGAAAAGGCTTAGGAATTGCCATGTATACTGCATCTCAGGCAAACAAACAGAAATACTGTCAATTGTTTTAACACCAGATACAAACCACATTCATCTCTGAGGAACTACAAAAATATTTGCGTTTAATTCAATGTGAAGGCTGACACATATTTAGCCAGAATTAAGATTTGGCATTTTTGATAAATGCATAAACATTCTAAGAAACCTTTACTTCTGAATAGCCACTACCTTAAGGAAGAGATGGCTTTAAACATTCTTGAACAATTCCAAAACCAAAACCATACCATTTCACTTGCTGGCAACTACTCTTGACCATTTACTTTGGGTGTAAGCTCTGAACTAGAAATTCTGCATCAAGGAACTTGAGAGTTTGTGGTTTTGCCATGAAAAATGCACAGACTACCCCAGGCAAACAATTTTTCTACTTTCTCCTCTCTGTAACAATACACGATTTATCTGGTTCACAAAAAGGTGTACGTTAATCATTAAACCTCAGAAAACTGTATTAATAAAGCATCATATTCAGGTTTTTGTGATGAACATAAAAAACCCCAACAATGCCACTTTTACCTTTTCTCCAGAATGAGTGTAACAATATAAGTTTCCATCCACACACCCAACACAAACATAT